AGGCAATCAAAACTTTCATGAACTTGTTTCTACGCAATCCTCAAATAAACAGCAGCGCGCAGCAGGGGATATATTTATGCAGTTCTGTCCAGCGGCTGTATGCTGTTAAAAATTTTCATTGCTTTATACTTTGGCATGTGCGCAAAAATGGTCAATGTCTTGTCTGGTTCCTAAGCTGCGAAATTTCCCACTAAAAATTTCACATACCGGTATGTGAAACATAAGCGTAGCGTGAAATTTGAAATCACTGGATCCCACATAGACGAAAGGAAATTTCATCTTCCTATTTTTCCGGAGCAGTGACCTCATTGTGGTCTGGGAGTGGCAACATCCAGATGAGGTGGAAATGTTCAACATACAAAAAAGACATCCCCAAAGAGCTAAAGCCTCACCAAATGCTTTTTATTGGGAAAACCCTCGAGTTGGTGGTTTCTTTAGAAGACGAAATCCAAGAACGGTGCAGTTTGGTCAAAGAAATTGGTGTCTGGCTAAGGTAACATGTGCGTACACATATATAGATGGATTAATCGGATCATGGAGGTTTCAGAGATTAAAAATTCAAAAAAAAACTTACACATCCACCTCCTCCTCCTCCGCCACCGCCACATCCCCCTCCTCCTCCTCCGCCACCGCCTCCACCACCGCCACCGCCATCGCATCCGCCACCGCCACCTGCTCCACCCACATATGCCGCCCCACCACCTCCGCCACCTGCGCCACCACAATCACATGGAGGTGGAGGAGGACAGTCTGCCGGCGGGCAAGGCGGAGGTGGGGGTGGTGGAGGACAAGGTGTCGGTGGGCATGGTGGGGGAGGTGGAGGGGGCGGACAAGATGGTGGTGGACACGGCGGTGGAGGTGGTGGCGCTGGACAAGGCGGTGGTGGTGGGCATGGGGTTGGGGGACACGGAGGCGGCGGTGGACAAGCTGGTGGTGGTCCGCAACCGCCTCCACCACCCCCTCCACCTCCGTAACCTCCACCGCCACCACCTCCAAGACCTCCCCCGCCACCGAAGCCACCGCCTCCGTAGCCACCACCTCCGCCACCGTAACCACCGCCTCCACCTCCGCAACCATGTCCGTGAGAAAGTACGAACGGCGATGTAGCCAAAATGATGAGGCACACTTGCAACATCCTGAAAATTTGTTCAGAGTTCACAGGTGATTGGCGACTGCATTACAGTCCACATGAACAGTCAGTTTGGCATCAGATACTGTATGGAATGCGGTGATGCATTTCATCTAACATTTCGTAAGAGTTTAGCATCTTTCAATCCGTCTATGATTCATTCAGTCGTCTCGATAATTAATTAATATTTGCCAAGGAGTCAAACCCGCCGTTGACTTGCTTGTAAGCAACAATCGAAGACGGAAGCTAGTGAGGAAGCAATTGACAGTCTTCCAGAGGGTGGCTTTCATTCGCTATCACTCGCGCTACTTCCCGAACACCTATGCCTTTTAACAGAACGGATACGAAGAAGATTTTGACTTTTAACATCATTATTCTCTAAAATAATAAATAAAGCCTACTTTTACATATCAAATGTTTTTATTTGACTTTAGCTACCATATTTCATTAGTGAAAAAATATTTGAGTTTTGCGAGTAATTAATTATGCCAGGAATATGGAAGCATCCCAGTAACATCACTCACATGAAGTACCCACACCGACTTTCCAGGCGGTCAATGATTTCTCAAATATTCAAGGACAAGCACTACTAAAAGCAACAGACGATGCTTATATCCTTCCTTCCTTTTTAGCTCCCGTGCTTCATTCCTCTGCTGCTCCCCGCAAATCTCTTTTCCCGGATTTTCAACTATTGTTTTTCTTTACCAAATACGTCCATTCCGATTCCACCTGGATTAATACACATATGTATAATATATACATAATATATATGCAAAATATATACAGTGCGATTAATAGAGCTAATAAGCAATAAGCTACCTAGCATGCATATTAAAAACATTAAACAACCTTAGTTAATAATGATGCAGATCAATGAAGCTGTAACAATAAAATAGTACAATACCACTGAATATGCAGCACTTTCAGTGTTTACCTGTAAGTACAAAATCTAATAATAAACATTAAAAAATTCGAACACATGCACGCATGCTCAGTGTCAAAAGGTATTAATTTGATACGCATTTGATTCAATAAGTTTTAACTCGAGTTAGTCACAATTTTTCCGAAAAGCAGGCACTTATGAAAAGAGTAGTGGAAGAGCAGGCAATTTTAGCAATTTTTTTGCGTCACGGCATCAAGAAAAGTGGTCTTACTCAGTCCTGATTTTAGAGTAATAAGATTATTGATAAGGACAAATTACGGTGGACTGTAAAAGCAGCTCAAACAGTAGATGTAAATATCCCGTGTTAGTGATGTTATTGGAATGCTTCCAAACACCGATGATCCTGAGCCTCATACTTCCATTTAGTACTTCCCATCTGTGTAGTATAATAAAGATTAATAAAACGCTGAGAGCGAACTTTTGGGGCAAATTGCTCTGGAGTGCTTATGCATGTAGATTAGCACTAGGCATAATAATGTTTGGTTAATCTGGCTGCCACAAAGTAACAAGCCTATTGTTTCAGTTTACCAAACTCGGGACTTGAAATCTGCCTGGAAATTGCAATCGGAAGCGCGAGTAAGAGCGTAGCCGCTTAGCATTGCTGATGAATTAAATAAGCTATAAACAGAAATTTTACAGCTTTAAATTCTTAAATTAAAAAAATCAGCTTGAGGCAAAAAATCGCAACAGAAAGATAGATTAAAGTTTTGAAATCGGATTCATAGCAGCATGCATAGACTGAAATATTAAGATCAGAAATAACGAAATGATCTAAGTAACATATGAACAGATGGATATTTTGAAGAGCAGTCTATGTTTCAACCCCTAGTTTTAAACAGTATTTCTAAAAATCCAAATACATCGATCTGGTAGTTTTTGAGTCAAAAAATCTGGAGAGACACATACCTACAGACATAATCGTGGCTTTCAATACATGAAAATGCACTTGAAAAGAAAAAAAATTTAATATAAAATCATTTCACAAAAAAAGACATGTTTCCATTCACTCCCTTTTCATCTTTTACTCACGGTAATCTCACTTCACATGGTAATTCTTGTTCACAACAAAAGCCAATGGCCTTAAACCAACTTTGAAACTCCGATAACACTCATGCTAAGGATGTAATAATTGTTGGAGCAACCGGTCGTGGAATCAGCAAAAGCAGTAGTTGTGTGAAGAAGGAATGGTGGTACTCTGGTTTGCTTTGTTTTTGAAGCATACGCCAGACATACATTTACCTCTCCTTTCCCGGACCCTCTTTAAAAGCGGAAAATTGGAATTTGTTCACACATACCCAGTGTTAGGCGTCGCCCAGAAGCGAACGTGCAAAGAGGAGGAAGAAGCTGTGAAACACAAAGTTTGTTTTCGATTAACGCACTGTTTTATAGGGTTACACCTCCGTTACCGGTCAACCTTGAACGCAGTGCATTTGCTTTCACTGTTAGCAATTGGGCATGAATGGAAGTAGTAGTAAAAAGCGACAGCGGGAACGATGACATTCGTAGTAAAAACAAGTACACGAAGGATGAAAAATTTATGAAGTACTCCATTTCATCGATCGGACGTTCATAGAATTCTCAAGCCAGGAATTTTTTTATCATTTGGTTGCATGCCATTTACAACAGAAATTCTACATCGATGAAACATCCGAGTAATTGCTGCCAAAAAATGGGCCCATCTGGATGTTTTTTGTGATTAGTGGTAAGAACAAATGAGAAATAAATGGATCCGGAAGTAAAGAAAGAAGTTGGTTTTGCAGGCCGGCTATTTTTGGTACTTGTCAGTCACAAAAACGTCATATGAAGCAGTCTGCTTTGGTAAGGATTCAAAATATCAAGAGTACCAAGACAGTCCAGCGAATCAGTGTGGGTAACGGGAAAGAAGGCTAATTGCTAGCTGATGGTCCGGAATTCTTCGTCCTAACGCTACCGGATTCTACTTATCACATAGTTTGTTTTGCACACTGCATGCAAGTCTTTGCCTCCATTCTGTATACCATCAACTAAATGCCTTTAGTCATTTAACAACAAATCGAAATTTAACGACGAAAACATATACCGGTAATAGCAGCATGGTATCACTAGATGTGTTGGGGTAGTAGTCGCAACAAGACGGAGTGCCGTAACACCGAAGAATCAAAATCCATCAAAACTCTAGAGCACTAAAGCCGATACCAAAAAAAATTTCTTAAATCAGTAAGTCCTAAATCTGGAAGGATTCCATGAATCCTAGTAATAAAGTTTAAACCTTGACCGTTCACTGAATTTTCGCGGAATTCTCTCTGCCCTCATTTAAAAAATCGAGAAAGCTTCGTTTTAGCTACACTGATTGTCTCATACTAATGGTTTTACTGAAATATTACTACATATCGAAGCAGCTATGTCAGGCCCATCGAGTAGCCGGACAGTCGATTTTGTAGAATCATAGCACTGTGCATTTGTAGGAGTACCACAGTTTTTCTCCGAAGTTTTACCGGCAGTAATGATCTCCGCTTGAGAATTTAAACGTCTTTCTAATAGTCTGAATCAAGGAAAATCCACGCACACCATTCAATGAACAGCTATGCATTGCTCGCGCGTGCAGTTGCATCTCAGCGACAATGACCCCGTCCCAATCTTCCTTCTCCCTCAGTTTTCCAGACTTATATAATTCAAGTTAACCACTCCTAGTAAAATATAACCTGGTACAGCCAGACCAAGCCGTTTGGAGATCGCTTCCAGTGAACGTTTTCTTTTGCGAAGATTACTTATATGAGAATTCCCTCTCTGGGACAATTCCGGTTCCAAGAGTTTTTCCTGTCCCGTTTTTTCAAAATTTTTCCTCCGAAAGTGGCTTCGGCACTTCAAAACATGCTTGCATCCATTTCCACTCACCTTATCATTGTTATCATCTTCGCGGTTGTCAACACGATGGTTTTAAGGCCCGCCTCCATTGCTTCTCCCTTCTTCCCTCAATATCAGTTCTGACCTTTACTGCTATTTTTCTGTAACTGAGAAATCTAAGCCGTAAATTTGTTATTTTTGAATAAAATAGTGATGTGCGCTTCAAATAATCCAAGTTCTTTTGTCGGAAAGACTGTTGAGTTGGCAATTCCATCAGGACACGAAATGGATATCAGGACTTCCAGCAAACTGACCATCAAGCGATGCAGTATTGACTACCTAGTTGAAGAACGAACCAGAACTGCAGCTGATCAAGCAATCTTATCTTTCCGTGCATTTCGGCTCTGCCACAGCGCCTTCAATTAAAGTAAACAAAATAGGTGAATGGTATTCTGGGTAGAAGCACAGGAGGCTCACAGCTAGGTAATCTGAAAAACCAGTAAAGAATTTTTTAGATTCGCAGGAGCTTCTGTTCTAATTTGCATACTTTTAATTGGTACATGCTGCATATTTGTTATAAAAACCTTTTTCGCAAATGGAACTATCTAGCTTTTCAATCCTTAAACGGACGGCATTTTTCTAAATACGAACTGAACTAGCGCGTCAAAGTAGAGTGAAACATTAAAGCAGTTTTCAGGACAGCTTTTTTCTATGTGCTCCGCAAGCTGCTTAGCCTTGAGATTTGGACCTGTTCATTCTTAGGTTATAAACTTTGCAAATTTCTGTGTTTTGCAGTCAGATTCATGCTAAAACAGAGTGATTTTAAAATTCAGTTCAGTTTTATGACTTTCTTGGTCGTCGCTAATTATAATTCCAAAATTTCAGTTTCTTGGTTTTGGAGTTCGATCTAGCAAACAAGTATAAGTACCACTTGCTTTCGTTTTTGATTTCTTCAAAAATACATAAAAAGCAATGATAAATTTTTCCAGACTCATAAGTCTTCATAAACCATCCAATTTTAATTTTTTTTTTTTTGCGACGCAAACTTTTTCTCCTTGTCCTAAATGTCCTAAATGGTTCTTATCTTTCAGTTGCAGAAAGTACATTTTACAAAAAAAAGGCAATGCAAGGTACAAATGTTCATAACTTGTTTTTACTACATTCCCTTTCTTCAACATATAATTTTTTTGTAACGATTTTGCTGATTTGCTTCATTCTGTGGTTTTTTTTAAAATAAAGT